TGTTGTACATTTAGTACTATTATGGTGTTTTTAAAAAGTTTCCATGCAGCTTGTAAGCATTTACTTTTGTGACTGTTCCTTTTAATTTCCATTTAACTAGCTTTCTCATTTTTGTGCAGTTCCCCTTTTTGAAGTTAAAAAGATACTGTGGTGGGTTTCTTTGGTATTTTCTCCCCTATAAGAAAGTTAAATTTAATCACATTATGGTTGCTATTACTGAGTGGTTCAGCAAAATTCACCTCTTGGACCAGATCCTGTGCACCACTTAGAACTAAATCAAGAATTGCCTCTCCCCTTGTGGGCTTGAGGACTAGCTGCACCAAAAAGCAGCCATTTATGGTGTCTAAAAATTTTACCTCTGTATTCCATCCTAGGGTGCGACATACCCAGTCAACATGGGGCTAGTTGAAATCCCTCATTATTATTGATTTTTTTATTTTTATAGCCTCTCTGATCTCCCTGAGCATTTCACCATCACCATCACCACCCTGGTCAGGATTTCAGTAGTATACTCTTATTATTCAAGCATGGAATTTCTGTTCATAGAGATTCTATAGTAGTTTGATTAATTTAAGACTTATACTATATTTGACTATATGCTTTCTTTCACATATAGTGCCACTCCCCCACCAGCACGATCTTCTCTGTCATTCCTATATATTTTGTACCCAGGTATTACCAAGTCCTGTTATCATTGTTCCACCAAGTTTCTGTGATATGTATTATATCAATATCCTCATTTAATATTGGGCATTCAAATTCACCCATATTAGAATTTAGACTTCTTGCATTTGTATACAAGCACTTGTAAAATCTGTCAATATTTAGTTGTGGGCCTTTATTTGACGTAATTGAAATAGGACTCTTTTTCATGTGACTTTCTGTTCAGTTCCTGCATGTACTTTATCAACTTCTATACTCTTCTCTTTACTAAGATATAGAGAATCCCCTCTAATAAATCTTCCCCTAAGGGATGTCTCGGTCCAAACCATGTGCTCCTCCGCACCTGTTGTTTTTTCCCCAGACCTTAGTTTAAAAACTCCTCTACAACCTTTTTAATTTTACATGCACTCTGGTTCCCTTTTGGTTTAGGTGGAGCTCATCCTTCCTGTATAGGCTCCTCCTTTTCAAAATGGTTCCCCAGTTCCTAATAAATCTAAATCCCTCCTCCAAACACCAATGTTTCACCCATGCATTGAGACCCTGCAGTTCTGCCTGTCTAACTGGCCCTGCATGTGGAACTGTAAGCATTTCGGAGAATGCTACCGTGGAGTTCCTGGACTTTAATCTCTTACTTAGCGGTCCGAATTTGGCCTCCAGGACCTCTGTCCTACCTATCCCTATGTTATTGATACCTACATGTGCCACGAACACTGGCTCCTCCCCAGCACTGCACAAAAGTCTATCTACATGTCTCATGAGGCCCTCAACCTTCGCACCCAGCAGGCAATTCACCAGGCAGTTCTCCTGGTCACCATAAATCCAACTTTCTAGTAATCAAATCCCCCATTACTATTATCTGTCTCCATAGGCACTGACTTCCCCTCTGCCCCATGGGTGCTCGACCCCCTCATACCCTGGCCCTGCTCCTGCCCCACCATTGCCCTCCCCAATTCCACCCCCTTCCCCCAAGTCCCCGCCCCTGCCCCGCCTCTTTACTGCCTCCTCTTCTGAGCACACTGCATCTCCACTCCTCCCCCTCCCTCCCAGAAAGTCCTAAGCACCACCAACAGCTGTTAGGCGGCGGGTGGGAAGTGCTGGGAGGGGGAGAAGTGGGGACGTGGCACGCTTGGGGGAGAAGGTGAGGTGGGGGGCAGAGAGAGCTTTGCTGCCAGTGGGTGTGGAGCATCCGCTAATTTTTCCCTGTGGGTGCAGCAGCTCCGCAGCACCCACAGAGTCGATGCCTATGTCTGTCTCTTCCTAATAACTGGGGTACACTCCCCCAGAGGGGTATCCTCAGTGTGAGAGGATACCATGACACCATCATCTGGAAGGTTGGTCCCAACTATGGGATCATTTCCCTCTGCTGCAACTTGATGTTCTCCTTCCCCGAGACTTTCATCCTCCTCCACAGCACAGAGGTTATCAGGCTAGGAGTGGGACTGCTCTATTGTGTCCTGAAAAGTCTTATCTATGCACCTCTTTGTCTCCCTTAGCTCATCTAGTTCAGCCACTCTGATCTCAAGAGCCCGAACTCAGACCAGGGCAACACTACAGACCTCTATCGATATAACATTGTTGCTCATGGCTGTGAAAAATCCATACCCCTGAGCAACATAGTTATATTGACCTAACCCCCTGTGTAAACAGTGCTTTGTTGATGGGAGAGTTTATCCCACTGACATAGCTACCGTCTCTTGGGAAGGTGGATTAACTATGACAACAGGAGAAGCTCTCCTGTCAGCATAATAGCATCTTCAGTAAAGCGCTCCAGTGGCACAGCTCTGGTTCAGCTGCACTGCTGTAGTGCTGTCCATGAAGACAAGCCCACAGTCCCTGAGAGCTCTGAGTTGCTTGCAGCAAATGCACACATACACCACTTGCTCACAAGGCAGGTAATCTTACATGCTGCATTCCGTGCAATAAATTGGATAGCCATCACTCTACTGCTGGACTTCTACCAGCATTATTTTTACTCTGGCATTTTTTTGTTTGTTCTTTGGGATTTTTGTTTGTTTTTTCTAGGGGGAGGGCTTTATTTTCCTGTGTTTAGAGAATTTTTGTTAGATGTATCTGGCTTTAAACTCCCTCACAAAACTCCCCTGTTTGCTATCTCCTCTGGTTGTTAAGGAGCTTTTTTTTTAAACCCCTGTTCTCCCTGAATTAGCCCCGCCCCCTTATCTAAGAATCCCAAAGGGATTAGGGATCAAAGGATACTAGACCCTCATTAGGAAGGTCTGCTAGGCTCTGCACAGAGCCCTCCAAACAGACTACACTATAAACTTCAATCAAGCAGTCACACGGCAAGCAAGCAAGCACACAACAAACAATGGAGTATGTCTTAAAAATGGAGTATGTCTTTCAATGGAGTATGTCTCAAAAATCCAAATGTACTTTCTAGCCTCTACTTAAAATTTGAATTTAAACCCAATCTTCTCTCCCCGTATCATATATTTAGCTAACTGGATATTTTTAGTATTCACATTCCTTGTTTATCAATTAGTTTATAAATAGTCTTGCAATTAGACTGGGTCAAAACTCAGCTTACATTTTTTTGTGAAAAGGGCTGGTGGTGTCTGTTCAGTCCCTAGTGGTCAGGTGTCCAGTAGGGCAGTGGGATGGCCATTCATTAATTTTGGCCCATCCATGATGTTTCCAGGCTCCCGCATAGCATGGCAGCCTGTCTTCCATGCTGCCACTGGCTACGCACCCAGCAGCCATGCACTCCTACCCAGCCCTTCTGTAGTATAATAAAGTTACAGAAATAGACTGTATTGTAGCTTATGCTGCCTTGAGAGGAATATGACACTTCTCTCCAATTTCACTCTCGTTCAGCTGGTCATTCTTCTCTTGATCTGCAGCTTACTACTTCTGAGGCCTGTAGCTTGCATCAGCTTGCAGACAGCCTCTGAGTCTAAAATATTTAAACAGCAGGAAAGAATATTGCTACTCTTCCCCTTAAGACAACCTTTCCTTACCAAATTTTTGTGGTTTTTCTGGAAATTCGCTCCCTGCTGCACCAGGGAGCAGAAGGGAGAACATTGTCCTCTATCGCTTCTTATGCAATGCCAATAAAATGGGCCCAGTCTCCCCTTCAACCACATATTCAACTCAATGGGAGTTCTGTCCATATACCAAAGGGGAGAATTTGTTCCAACACCCAGCTTGGTCTAGCGACTAGGCCAATGGGCTGAAGCAAAAGATCTGAATTCAATTTTTTCTCTCCAGTGCTTGGCAGGTTGGTTCTTGCTCACATGCTCAGGGACTAACTGATTACCATATGTGGGTTTGGGAAGGAATTTTCCTCCAGGTTAGTTTGGCAGTGACCTTGGGGATTTTTTGACTTCCTCTGCAGCATGGGCGGCCGGGCTATCCCTCGCCCCCTCCCCTTGTGCCCAAGGCCCCTCCCCTCCCTTCTACTTCTCCCTCCCCTGCAGGAGCCCAAAGCACCCCCACTGCGGCCCTAGCGCGGGACAGCTGGGGGTGATAGGGGAGGCGAGGTCCCAGCCCCACTGCACCGCAGTCTCAGTGCCCACAGCCCTTGGGCAGTGCAGTCGCCACGTCCCCAGCCCTGGTGCTCAGGCGGCCAGGTAGTGCAGTTGCAGTGCCCCCAGTCCCGGTGCTTGGGTAGCCAGCCCGAGTGCTGGGCAGGCAGCGCGGCCCTGCACCAGACGCCCTGGCGGCCCTGAGTCCCTGCAGGAGGCATGCTGGCCTGGAGGCGGGGCCATGGTAGGCTATTTGGGGAGGCACAGCCTCCCCATGCTTACAATACCCACTGCCCATGCTCTGCAGCATGTCGAGACAGGGTCACTTACTAAGATTATCTGGGTATTTCTCACTTAATCATTTCCCTGCCATTGTGGGGGCCACAAGCACTGGTGCACCTCAGTTCTTCCTATTCTCTGCCTGTGGCACACAATAGTCTAGTCTCCTGTGGGCTGTAATACTTTGGTCTCATTTTGGTTGATGGGTTTAGTGTGAGGGTGCTGGGTGGTGGTGGCCTGTAATGTACAGGAGGTCAGATTAGATGATCTGGTGTGATCCCTTCTGGCTTTAAACCTTATGAATCTATTCCAGGCTCTGTCATGTAACCATGGGCAAGTCATTTTCCCCTCTAGGAACTGAAAATAATGACATTAACCTTTCTTCATAAAGCACTTAAGATCTACATATGAAACGCTCTACATGTATAAGCCAACCCCCTCTCTGCCCAAGTCTTGTGCACACACACATGCACACACACATGCACACAAAGGAGAAGTAACTATTTAATCAATTTGCACTTGCCCACAGAGGTATTTAACCATACTTCACATTCACAGACAAGGGATTATTTTTACCATGCAAGGGTGCCAGATGTTGATGCTTCTGTTGTCTGTGAATCTTCCTTCACAGATTTACAGGATGTCCTCTTTTCTGACCATTCTGAAGCTGCCCGTGTAATTCTTAGAATCCTCTCTGAAATCTCGCTGCCTAAGGAACATATAACCATGTGCAGGATTCAGCTCATTTTCGTACTTCAGCATTGGTTTCACATTTGTGATATGCTAGTTGCAGTGTTTTCTGAATTTTCTCATATAATTCTGTATGTGTTCCACTGTTAAGATAAACTGTAACCTTTCTCTGATTACTTTCACAGAACATAATAGTTAAAGCTCCAATTGTATTTATATGAATATGTTTTCTAATCTAATCTAAATGTAAACCCAGTGACACCTATGGCGATGATTGCACTGTTACAGCAATAGCTATGAAGGCAACTTTGCTTCCCACTCTATCGGCAAGGTCCTTCACATTTGCTTCAGAGATGAAATTATAATCTAAATAAATTGGCATGTTGATTCTCCATCTAATTCTTACATGCAGCTTGGGCTCCTGTTCAAAATCTCCTTGTGTAGCATTTTAGTCTAGATGTAATCTGTGGGTAAAATGGGGCCAGATCAAAAGTTTAGGATCTGCCTGCAGAAAGGACCATCTGCACATGGATCTCTCCCTCTCTGTGCAGAAAAGGGTCAGCTGCTGCCATAGCAGTATTTGCCCCCTTCTCTTGGACTCAACATCTGTACTGTTTCAGGAATCCATGAGGGCAGGGCTGGGAAGTGAGCAGGAGTGGAACTAGGGTGGTGGATGCACATAAACACACACACCACACAGCTCAAGCCCAAACATCTATACCACAGTTAAACAGGTCCTTAGCCCAAGCCTCATGAGCCTGAGTCATCTGACATGGGTCAGCCTCAGGTGTTTAATTGTAGTGTAGACATATCCTTAAAGGATGGGGAGCGAGGGGCCAACTAGGGAGTCCCTTGCAGTGCAGCTCCACTAAGGCTGGGACAGAGATACAGGAACCCAGAGTTGATTCAGAGGCCCAGAGTTCCTCAAAGATGCCCCTATGACCTGGAGGACCAGCACTGATCTTGGAGGTTCATGGTATTTGTGTTTGTCCCACACTGGGGCAAACCCTATCTCTCAATGGAAGAATTCAGGAAAACTCTGGAAGGCAAAGTTCATGGAGTTTCCTGGACCTACATGGGCATTTCCTTGTAAGCAATGGTGGATTAACACATGGGACAATTTGGGGGCCCTAGGAGCACTGGAACCTGTGCAGAAAGGGGAGTGCCACCAGCACCGGAACTGTGGCCCAGCCCCTGATCCTCCTCCTCTCCCTGAGGCCCCGCCGTCTGGCCAGGGTGGAAGCTGGAGCCTGGCCAAGGAAAGAGCTGCCCAGGGAGCTCAAGCCACTGTGCAGAGTCCTGGACCCTCCACCTGCCCTGGGAGGGGGGCCTGAGAGCAGCCTTCATCCCCTGTCTCTGCCCCCTGGCGTGTGCCACCCATGGCAGGTGGAAGGTCTGGGGCTTCCCACAGTGGCCCAGGCACTCTGGGTCGCTCTTAGGGGTCTTGGGGGGAAGAGGAGGGGCAGGGCCCACCTCAGACACCGCCCTGCACTGGGGAGAGGCTGGTGTTTCGCGGTGGGGGAGCTGATCACCCCAGCATGCAGGGTCACGTGCCCCCCCTATATTTCTCAAGATGCCCAGCAGCGAGGAGGCAGTGCTCCCCCTGGCAGCAGCATTTTCCCTGTGTCCCTGCAGCCTGGAGAGGGAGGAAGCAGCAGGGCAGCTGGCTGAGCTCTTCCCTTGTCAATGGGATTCGTTCGCCTTCCCTGATGCTCCACCCCCTGACTCACCTCAGTGAACGGCCTGCAAAGGAGGCAGCAGCAGGAGGGTGGGCATGGCATGTTTCTGGTGCCCCTGGGCCCCTGGGTGTGGAGGGCCCAAAAGTTCTTTGTGCCCAGGGCCCCAATAAATCTTAATCCACCTCTGCTTGTAAGGGCTCAGTCCAAGCCTTTCCTGGTCATCATCAGTACATCAGTATTCTCAGTTTCCGCGTGGTTTGAAGCACTAATATGGTGCAAAGATTTTCATCAGTTGCTGCTCTCACAGTTTTGCACTGATTAGTGGTAAATAGTTTTTTTCTCTTAATAGAATTATACATTTTTTAAATCTCCTAAAAGAGTGTTCATGTGTTTTTTAATCATAGAAACAAACTTCTCTAATTCCTTACATTTTGCTAACTATTAAAAATAAAATACTACTATGATACAAATAAAAAGTTTTATGGAGGAACTCCATAGTTAAGAATTAACTTAGATTTTTCACTTCAGGTAGGACTTAATGAAATTCCTTCTTCTATTTCACACTTTAACAATTGAACTTAGGCTTTGTGTACATTAGCACTTTTGTTGGTAAAACTTTTTTCGGTCAGGGATGTGAAAAAAACACATCCCTGACCAACAAAAGTTTCACTGACAAAAGCACCGGTGTGGACAGCGCTGTCGGCAGGAGACGCTCTCCTGCTGATATAACTACCACTGCTCATTAGGGGTGGTTTAATTATGCCTGCGGGAGAGCTCTCTCCCACTGACACAGAGCAGCCACACAGGAGACATATAGCGGCACAGCTGCAGTGGTACAGTTGTGCCACGGTAAGGTCCATAGTGTAGACATAGCCGAGTTAAATCTATCATGGGTCATTCAAATTTTCTAGTGTTTTTCATCAAAAGAAACATTTACTAATGAGCCTTTTTTAAAATTTCCCCTGAAAAAACATCATTTGTCCTTGGGCTCTTAGAGCAAAAAAAATCATGATCATTCTTTAAGCACAAAAAGAGTTATACCTCTAATTTAGTATAACCAATTTGACGTTTGCAAGGAAATACTGGACTTTCTCACCAGTTCTGCTTAGTACACAGAGCCTCTGTCCTTTCCTGCCAGCACCCCAACTCACCCACAAAGGATTGTGAGGGTTAGGTGGGTTCCAGCAAGAAACAGACTATGGTCATGGGTGAAAAAAAGCTGAGAATCACTTTTTGTCCCACGCTTCCAGCTATGATATCTGCAAAGTATTGCAGCTGTCACCCTTTAAGCTGATCACTCCCAAATCTACCTTTCTCCCCCTGAACTCCACCCATTGTAATTTTCTCCTCTCTCACCTTCCCATTCCATCCTCTCCAATCTCCAGTCTATTAAAAAGTTCTTTGGGACAGGGACCAATAGTTATTCTGGTTTATATTCCATAAAGCACCATGTACATCTGCAATACTATATAAATGATTCATAAAAAATAAGAACAGAGAGTGTTATAATGGAAGAAGAACTGGGCTGGGGGAGGGGGTAGCGGTTATTTTTAGCCAGTAACAATCTGTATAATCATTACCGTTCAATTTTAAACCAGAATCCTTCAATGCCTTTCCATATGATGCCCTCTTTGCAAAGGCAGTGTTGTCAAGATAACTGGTTGAAGTGCTACAGACAAACGACCCCGCTCTCTGCCTGGGAAGTAAGTCCATTCTCTTCTCTCTGTGAAATGCTGATTTGGGAAGAAGAGACTTTCTAAGAAACATGAAGTTCTATAATTCAACTGGTTTTAGAAGAAAGGTTTTGGGAACTAATATATTTCTTGAAAAAGTGCATGAGCTGCATTATAAAATCAGTAGTGAATTCAGAACAAACATCTGAATTTAAGTAAACTTAAATGTCCAGTATATTGAAAAATATAACTTACTCTCTATCTTACTTTAAAGTGGTTTCATAGTGGTGCTGATATTCAGACCAGAGTCTAACATTATGTTGCAGAGTGGAAATAATGATAACTAGTTTACACAGTAGCAGAGTCAGCATTTAAAATAGTAAGGGGGAGTCCTCTGGAGAAAGAGAGAGAGTTTCATCTTCAGAAGGAGTGCGTTATTCTTTGGAAAATTCACAGGATTGTGAGGCCTCAAAGATTTTCATTATGACACAGTGTGCAGAGACCTTTATCTTTTATTGCTGGAACATATTTTCCACTGCCTAAAGTGTGGTCCTGTTCCATTGTGGGGGAAACTGACTTAGAAAGGACTGCCCAACTTGCCTTTAACCCAGAATTTGGTAATATCAGTTGCAGGATTTGTAAGGTGGACATATCAAATTCTAGCTACTGACCCTTCACCCTTCTCCATTCCCGCACATCAACATGCCCCCTATGCTGGGGACTGCAAGAGAGAGAGGCATAGATGACAACTCTACAAGCTCTATGCCCACTGGGGAGTAATGGGAGGTTTCTGGTCCCTTTGTGCCAGCTGGGTGACACAAAGGGAACTGGAGAACCTAGCCCAGTATCTTATAATCAAAAAATGTTTGATGGTTGATTAGTTTAAACTTGATTTTAACTTGGAAGACATATTTCATTGTAATTAGTCACTGTATTGAAGTAATCAGTAGATAAGTAAAAACTTTACGCTGAAGTCCACATAGGTATCTATAACTATTTGTAAATACTCTGTGGTGAAGTCAGGGCTTAGTGGTATATTACATTGTCAGGCAATAGATCACGGTGCAATGCTAGGTCTCTCACAGTCTAGCAGGTAGAGACTGAGAGCTCTGCAGTGGTAATATGCTGAGTCCTGGGTAAGAAATGCTTCATGTTTCTCTACAGAGAACTGTTTGCTTAAAGGAGATCTGAAAGGGGCTTCCTCCAGCCCTCCTCAGCTGGAATAAAAGTGGCAGCAATAAAGATCCTTAGCAGTGATGAGGTAGAGCTGGGGAGGGGGGGGAGATCATCAGAGACCTTTGAGGAGAAAATTACAATTTCATTGACTAATTAGCAATAAGTAAATATAATGTTACATTACAAAGAAATATTGTCCATTAAAAATAGTGATTCCTGTTGTAGGGCTTGTGTATACAGAAAAGTTGTACCACTTTAACTATACCGGTACAGTTAAAGTGGTACAACCCTCTAGTGTGGATGCAGTTATACAAATACAAATGTGCTGATACCAGTATACAGCTTATTCAGATACAGGAAGGGAAATAAGCTACTGCAGTATAAGGCACCCTTATAACAGTATAACTGCATCCACACTAGGGAACTGCACCACTATAACTATACAGGTACTGGCAAAAACCCCACATCCCTTACTAACACAGTTTTACTGGTACAAAATCTGTGTGTAGACAAGGCCAACAAAAATGGTCCATTTCTAACATGAGTGATGGCACCATAAATATTTTTTTAAATCTTGTACTACAGGAGGCAAATAAATATTACTTTTCCATCATCATCAGCAGCATATTAGTCTGGAGCAGTGGCCAGCCTAGTTAAACTGAGCTGTCAACACTTGATAGCTGACACAAGTTCCTCCCATTGTGAGGAAATTTCATGTTACATTGCAGATCAAATAAAAAGGATTTGGACCATCTGCTTTGGGTGGATGCCAGGCCATATCTGGAGGGAATGTTTTAATTTGAGGGGTTTTGAGGCAAAGGGATGCTGCTGGCTTTATCTTTTATGACACTGTGCTTTTAATAATGACAAAGGGCCCCTACAACTAGAGCTGAATGACATTTTTCAAATAGTTTATTTGCTGACAAATATAGTTTCGAGTCACCTGAAACCATTCATGAATTCATATTGAGTTCACTGAATAGTTCTGACCAAACAAAAAAAAATTGAAATGTTTTGTTAATGTCAAAATGAAATGTTTAGTTTCGACCTGAAAAATTTGTATCAACTTTCAGTCATTTTGATTAAAAAAAAGGAAACTAACAACATGGCTGGAGGAGGAGAAGTAATATTAAACACAGAAGGCGCAACAGACAGATCATTGCACCAAAGTAGTTAAAAACACTTTCAATGCTCTTACAATCAGATGGTAACTGTGTAGTGAATGAACTTCCAGCCAACAAGTTGACTTGCATTATTGTGTGAGGAACATTGAGTGACCATAGGAATCTATAAGACATCAGAAAAGAAAAAAAGCCACTTAATATTTTTCTTAGGAGTTACTGTCATTATGTGGGTTCATTTCCTTCCCGTTCTCCCCACAAGTTGTCCCCAAACCAGACAAATTAGGTTATTAATTTTGCACAAAGAAGTGCCAACTCAGATATATGGAGTCTCATTCAAAAAAGAATTAAGTGCTACTAAAAGCTGGATTAATATTTACTTTGATTTTGTATTAATTTATAAATGAATATTATTTTATTATAGTCTCTTTTCAGGTTTTAGCATGTTGTAAGCTATTACACAAGTATTCTACATATTTGGCATTCTTTATCACGTTTTATTTAGTGTGTGTGTGTGCATGGCTCTTCAAGTACAGCTCTAAAACATACATTTTTAGAATAAACTTACATGTGCAATATCAGACTAACTCTCCTGGAGGTAGTCATCTTTAGGTTTTAAGTGTCATGCACATCAATGTTCTAACATTACAGTGAAACAAAGATTGCAATTAAATAAATTGTCACCTATCAGAACTTAGAAAGAGAAAAGACGTATTAGTCAACAAGTCTCTTTCCACGCTATAGCAGAACTTTCTCTACAATTCATTCAATAGATTCACGGTTCAGACAGAAAACGAGATCAAACTACAATATGTGTACCATACCCAGTTACAAACATTTTTTATGCTTTACTACAGTGGTTTGCAGCCTTTTTTCATCCCTACAAATTTTGAATGGAGGTGCAAACCCATTTGGAAATCTTAAACATAGTCTGTGGACCCCCAGTGGTCTGAGGACCTGAGGTTGAAAACCACTGTTCTATGGTAACAACATCATTTTGTGGGCCCCTTACATAGTCTGCGGACCCCCCAGGGGTCTGTGGACCACAGGTTGAAAACCACTGCTTTACTACATCAAGCAATTCTTCCTGCTTATATCAAATGTTGCACTTTCTGTCCTGACTATTCACCTTCATTAATCTCACTGTTTAATTATGGAGTCCCTGGAATGAAGATGTTAATATATGCTCTTTGGTGTGGTCACTTAACTTAACTTTTGTATTAAACTAAACAGAAGATAGTATAAATCATGCTTATTTTTATTTCCCAGATGAAAAACTTGGCTAAACTGGAGTTAAGGTTGACAGACATCAATAACATAAGGGTTAAAAAAAATTAAGAATTTTGTAGTAACAAAAAAAAGGAGAAAATCAGGAAATTCAGAGTTAAAAGTTAAAAGAAATCCAACCATTTGAAAGTATGGTCATGCACATTTGAGGTAACCCCAAACAATTTTAACTGCATTCTTTGCAGTGCTGGCCTTCCATCTTGTAGTCTTCATGGCACAAACATGTACAAAGTGTAAACCAATGCAATGTCATCTTCTCGAGTTTGCGGACAGGATGAAAAATAGTGCTGAATGGTGTGAACTACATCATTATATTATTGTTTTATATTTTATTCAATAAAAATCTCCATTTTAATTTTTTTTCTGAAGATACCACAGAAATTTCTGCCAGAGCACTGCCACATCCAGTGACTTTGCACAGAACATAGGTCCTGCTTGCCAGAGAGTACTTGGACCTTGCACTAGACTCTTAATGAAGATGCTATTTGTTTAATTAGGAATTATACATTTTTGTTTGACTGCACATAGCACAACTGCTTCATCTTTAAAAATACGGCATTCTAATTTTTGAGGTTACTGATTAAAGTGACATCCTTTTTATGGTGGTAGCCGTGTTAGTCTGTATCAGCAAAGTACAAGTACTCCTCATCCTTTTTATGGGTAAGATTGTCACAGATGGTATGTCTATACGCCAATGTAAGCCCAGCGTTTGAACTCAGGCTCAAGCTTAGCCCTCTTCTTCCTTCCCCTGTCTACAAACAAATTGCACTAACTCAGGGCTGGAATTCAGGGTCCCAGGACCCCAAAGGGGTGGAGGGTCCAAGCCTGAGTCAAGCTGGGACTAGCAACTAGCCCCCAGCCATGCCCCTTCCACCCAAAGCCCCCCCTTCAGCCCCCCCCAAACCCCGTACCGTGGCTGCCAGCCCCTACTCCAGGCGTGCCAGGAGGACCAGGAGGGCAGGTGGTGTGGCCACAGCCTCTGAAGCACTGGGAGGGAGGGCAGGCAGTGTTGAGTAAAGAGTACCCTCTGGATTCCCCAGCTGTGCAGGTTTAGCGGACTATGTCCCAGCCACCTACATACGCCTTCATGAGGAAGAGTGAACATAAAACTTCAGTGAGTTTTCTGGATCCTTTGTTCCCCATCTCTGGGATGTCACCAAGGAAAGGTACATTATTTATTATTATTATTATTTATAGGGCCCAATGGCCCCAGTCAATGATCAGGGTCACATTTTGTTAGGTACTATACAAAGTAGTAAAAACCCAGTTCCTGCCCCAAAAAGCTCTGGTCCAGAGTTTTTATTTTCTAGCTTCAGTTCCCAGTGGAGTGTATTTCTTCCGTAACTGCAGAAAGGCCACATGACCCTTCAACACTGAAATATTTAGTAAGATTTAATGCTTCTAAATTCACGGAGAGGCTACTGGGAAATAGCTTTAAAGAACCTGGCCGCTGAACCATTAGATCAAATCTGAGGTAATGAAGGAATGAATCATATTCCAATATAATGAATTATGTTGGAAAAGAGGAATGTTTCAGCTCTTTGATACTTCTATTATTAGTTTGATATAAGTATGAGCTCTCCTTTTATAATAGCTTGGTTCACCAAAAAACAAATGACCCTCATGTCAGTGTATCATCTCAGGAGACCTATTACTGTGGAATCAGTACTCGTAAGCCCTGCTTAAATACAGAGACAGAAATAAATGTTGTTTTTTAGACCAATGTTAAATTTGCAGATTATTCATTCCCTTATTTAGCTTTATTGTAACTGTTCACAAAATTACTGGTTTCTAGATAGAGCAGTAACCATAGCAACCAGACATCATAAATTATATAGCAATCAGAAGCAGGGCTATCAGCCATAAGCAACAATTTCAGGCTGGCAATGTGGAAAAAACAATGGTTATGAAGTATTTGTGCCTCAGCCTTGTCATATTCAGAAGCTGAATTCTCATATGTTGAATTTGCAGTCTGTACGTACAAAGAATTGTTGCATATGTTACTGCAATGATCCGACCTGCAAACAACTGCTAGCAGTAATAAGCAAGAACAACTGAGATCCAGAGCTTTCCTTGGAGATTAAACATTGACTGGGAGGAGTTTCTGATCTCTGGCCAAAGTATTTCTGACCCTGTTGCTGGTTAACAGCCATCTTGCTTAAAAAAAAAAAGTGCTAGGATATTCCAGGGTGCAAGCCACACAAGAGAGGGGCTGTGTCACTCTTGCTTTGATGCTGTAGTTCCCAACCTGGGCCCCTCAGAACCAGCAAAACAGCATGCAGGTCACACCCTGAGTATCTGTGTACAGCTGCAGCCTGCAATCCAGTTACACTTTGATTTTCACCAACCTAGGTTGCCATTTGCAGGGTGACCCCAACATGCTCTCAGTCCCAAATCCTACCACCCCCCCCCCCAAAAAAAGTGTGTTCTGCACTGTCCAGCCCTCTCCTGGACAGTTCAGATATTTTGGGTCTTTTGCCCCTGTAGGGGATCAATATACAATAGTTTGCTACTTTACATAGAGTTACCCAATTCACAACATTGGATTAGTTTTGATCTAAGAATAAAACAAATTTAACTGGAAAAAGAGATTTTAAGGGAGTACAGTTAAAAGGCATTAAAGTCAGAAACGGTTACAAGAGAAATAAAGATAAAGCACTTTCTACTGCTAAAACTTAAACTACACTTGGTTCAAGGTGATATCCCTTATCGTATGTTCCCATTAACATTGCTAGCCAAATGTTCAGGCCAGGACCTGCTTGCAACTGAACATTAAAGATTTCTTCTGATTAGTAAATCTGTTACTTTGTAGCATCAGTTTAGTGGCAGTCAGGGCCATTCAGAAATAAAGATAAAGCACTTTCTACTGCTAAAACTTAAACTACACTTGGTTCAAGGTGATATCCCTTATCGTATGTTCCCATTAACATTGATAGCCAAATGTTCAGGCCAGGACCTTCTTGCAACTGAACATTAAAGATTTCTTCTGATTAGTAAATCTGTTACTTTGTAGCGCCAGTTTAGTGGCAGTCAGGGCCATTCTGTGATCAAAGGTTTGCAACATTTCTCCACTGCTTGTCTCTCCAGCATCCAGTTCCCCCAGTTTGCATCAGATAGAACAGCTGTAGCTTCTCACCCTGCCAGCTAGCCTGACTCAAAACCAGGGCTCATCTTCCCTGCACCTCTCCAACATGACCTGGCAGCACCTCTCTTTTCTCCTCCCTCATGCCCTCATCTCCCCACATGTGGCACTTATGTTCCATCAACCTCTGCCCCAGGAGTCTTTGCTTCCTCTTCAACTCTGCTCCTCTTTTCCTCAAGCCCTACATCATCTTTATTCCTAGCTCTCAAATTATCCTCTGCTGAAATCTCCCCCTGCCCACTTCCTAGTTTGTGCTGTTTCTAATCCATTAAAATAACTTTTTAAAAAAAGATCAGAAATGGAAGGGCTAAGCTGTGGAAACATTACATAAATAGTTGGTTAAAACTTTCAAAAGTGCATAAAGTATAAGTCCTATTCTCTTAAGTGATTTAGGCAGTTGCCTCACTGACTTTTAATAAGATTTAGGCTCTTAAGAGTCTAAGTCACTTTTGAAAATTTTATCCAGTATCTCATACTTTCTCCCATACTGCCTGTCACATTTTTAGCAAAAGAGATCAGAAAAAGATTCCTGCGAGATCCATTTTACAGTTTATTCAGATGGTCAGATGTACTTTTATCTGGAACTTTCAGATTGCTGGACTGAGGAAAGTGGTGGGAGTTTTCCCTTAAATAATATCCGTTTTGTCTTGAAGCATAAAATGAATAGTCAGTTTTTAAAAACAGTCTCTGACATAAACAAGAAGAAAATAACAATTAAATTAATCTTTATCAAATATGCTGTTGCCACTTCAAGATTTAAACAGGAAGACTTCCCACTTTTTGAATCCTTGCAAGTGTAACAGCCTTGCTGCTTATTTTGGTAACAGTCCTGCTCCCTCACTAGGTGCACTATTCATTGCTCCATTCTGGAACCTGTTTGTTGCCTGGTAATGTAATGCACAGCTACCTTCAGCATTAACTATAGAACCATTCCATTTATATAATTCACTGACCTTTCACTTTATAGGGCTTGATTTCAAGTCACTAGTCAAACAGCTTTTAGCTGAAGCATGTGCTTGGACTGCAGCATATGAACTCTTTTACAAGCCATCTGCACCAGACAACTAGACACACAATAGCCTTTCCTGGAACAGTACTCAGCGCTTGAATGGCTGGAAGTGATCAGGTCTGATCTGTGAGCACTGCAGAATTGAAGAGGATCACAGCCTTTTTTCACCACCCACTAGATTTGTATGTCCCTAGATGGTGCCCTTTCTAGAATTAGTTAGACTCAGGGAGCAGTGACCTTGAAAAAGAAGGTTTCAGAGTAGCAGCCGTGTTAGTCTGTATCCGCAAAAAGAAAAGGAGTACTTGTGGCACCTTAGTCTCTAAGGTGCCACAAGTACGCCTTTTCTTCTTGAAAAAGAAGCAGACTATTGACAAAGTCATAACTTACATAGAGAGGTTTCTGTCTCCTGTTTTATTTGTGTGTGTGAATTTGCAGTCATGTTGCACGTATGTAATGGGGCATGCTGTTTAAGAAACAAAGTTTTCAAAAACAGCATGTTGCTCTTCATCTCAGTCTTAGCAGACAACTACTCATAAAGCTCATCAAACCAAATGACAGGTGATATTTTAGGCTCAAAATAAAAACCTCTAGAACTAAGCAACAATAATTCTCCTTGAAGGTGGTCTATTTAGGTTTAAGGAGAGTTTTAAATTTGGTTCCAGTTTGTGGCTTTAATTTCCACATCCCTAGAAGCAAACAGGATGATTTGAGAATGTAATATTCCCTTTCAAAAAGCTTTGAAAAGAAAACAGATTGATAGACAGCTAAAACCAGCTTCAGAGCTGAAATGAATCTTTTTTGGAGGGAGGGGAGATTTTGAGGGGGTTACTGTATATCAGGTGAGTAACAATTAACAGATTCCACTCCCACCCCAACTTGGTGGTATAACAGCAAAGATCTGTGTTTCTGTCTCTAGGAATGAGAACTTCTATGTAAATTTCCCACTGCCACACACACTCGAGCCAACTTTTAAAACATCACATTTTACCAACATTTAAGTAAGCTGTCATTTTTTCCCTGCCCAGCATTATTGATCGTAAAAGGGAGAGCCATGATACATCACTTCAAATTGAAGACATCAACCGGCTCACCCTCCTAATTTCTTACAGGAGAAATCTCAAAAAAATGCCACAGAGCAAGCTTATTCTGTTTCAGAGGTGGAGTTTGCCCCCTGGCAGAATGAGCTGGGGTTTTCGCCACCAGAATCTTCAGATTCTTTGGGATTGAACAGAGGTCTGTTATATTAATTTAGATGGATTAAAGGGCTCAAAGGTGTTAATGTAACCCAGTCACTGTACAACATTAAATGGTTTTAAACAAAGTTCATAGTTCGGTATACAAAGACCTCAGCCTACTTTTACTAGAGCAAACACACTAAAATTCACACCAAAGGTTAGAAATTTATTGAAACATACAAAAAGAAAAGAATCAAAACAAGGCAAAGAGCACTGAAACTGATTATGCAAAATAGATGTACTCAAAACCTGTCAAAGTCTCTATTTTGAGACACTGAATATTGGCTAAAGTCTCTTATTCAATTAAACAGTCCTTCATAGCAGGGAAGAAAGGGGTTAGTTCTGTTGCTCAGTTCTAAATTGGAAATGTTAGTCACTTTGTTGCTTTAGGCAAAACAGATAGACACAGAAGGGAGATAAGATCATAAAGATGGGGGAAATATGGCTTTTGTTGATGTTCTCAGAATACAGGGCAGTTGGTCAGTCACGGACAGATGCTTTGGGCTGACAAATCAGCCACAACAACTGTTGCTCCGTATCTCAGCTCACCTCCCCGCTCAGGTAAATCATCTGGTTGTTCTGGTCAGATCCCCATCCTTCACTGGTCCTTCTCAGGCTCAGCAGAGCTGGATGGGCTGTCTCATCCCATTGTGCTGGTGTCATGCAGTACAGCTGATTTCAGGATCAGATGAAAAGCCGAGAGAGAGAATGAGAGAAAGAGGGACAGGAGGAAGATGGGGTAGGGGGCAGGACAGAAAGAAGCATACGAGGAAGGGGAAGACAAAGCAGAATCTCACATATATCAGGTTGGGATCCTCATTCATGTAATGATGATGGTCAAATATCCCCACTAGAGTACCAAAGTCTGATGTCACGGCAACAATCCCAACACAGCTGTGGTGATGGTAAAAATTTCCCCGTTTTTCCTCCAAAATCTGTTTATAAAGGACCAAGAAAGGCAGTGGGTGGAATAATCCAGCCTCTCATTATTTTGTCCACCAATTAGGCCTAATTTCCGACACACCAATTTTGGTTCTTTGATTTCCAACTCTCAACTCCTCTTGTTTATCAGTTACAATCTTTCAGTGGTATTAGTAGACCCTTTCTGTTTAAAGAAATTCAGTCTGTCTCCTTCTCACATCTTTTCTTAATCAGTTTCATACAACAGATCATTGTGACAATTCATGAAATTTTACCCACTTTTCACCAAGTAGGCTAACAATTAAAGTAGGCCTGATAGACCACAATTATTACAACAGGTCCTGTGGGTCTGCTCCATCTACAGGACTTCTTGCCCCTCTTTCAAAAACTGGCAGCATTTCCCCTTTCTGGCAGCTGCCCTTAGAACTCCACTCCAAGAGGAGGAACCAATATGAAGGGGGCTCCATGCAAATACAGGCTGAATGCACTTTTTAATACATTTATCATTAGTTATCAGGGAACACTTATGTCACCTGAACCTCACTTTTGCGATCTCCCCACAGATGAACCCTGATCTATGGAGTGTCTGCTGCAGGACCTGTAGCGGGGAAATGGTGCCACAAAGGTCAATACAGGAAGAAGGATATCCACATGTTGATCCTGGGGGAAAAGTTCCCCCAAAGAGATGTCATTAAGTCTTCTTATTGGCTGGGGCTTCTGATGACACAGCTACTAGGAAAGAAATTAGGAACAAGTGCAAAGAAAAAGGTACCTCATAATGGAATGATGGTTAGAGTCTCTTCTTAGCAAGAGTAAAGCAATAATAAGAAAATTAGCTTATCCTCACTTCAGCCATAACAAAAATAAGTCATTTACTTCTCCTTGCAGTAGCCATGTGCACTAGTACTTACCTATCATAGAAATCATCCATTTTAGGACTATGGAAATCTCCTACATCAAAGAAATTTTTACTAGTTTTGTCCAGTTTATAAGCCTATTGAGAAGAAAAAAATGTAACTGTTGATAGATCATCAATAAATAAAAGTCTAATACAACCATCAGTGACATTTTGGGAGACATGAGCAAGTTTGTAAGGGCTGAGAAGCTAAGGGAATTCGGATTTCAAAAGTCATTATTGGTTTGAATGTATTTATCTGGGGGAGTAGATGGCTTGAGGAATCAGTCACAGGAAATTGGGCCAGTCTAGGTTGCCAGTCAGGGCTGCCCTTAGGCATAGCGGCTGTGTAGGGCACCTGAACATTTGGGGCACCACTGGGTCTTAGTGTCCACTGTCCCAGATCTTCCTATCCCTGTTCTGACCCTTCCTGCAGGCTCCCACAGACAGCTGCAGCAGCCTGGTGACTCTTATTCTGGAGGGGATCTAGTAACTTAAAAGTGAAAAAGCCTTCCTGCCTGCCAGACCTTTTAGCACAACATTGAAATTGTTAAAGAGCCATTCAAGTGGTAATGACAGGTTTCAGAGTAACAGCCGTGTTAGTCTGTATTCGCAAAAAGAAAAGGAGTACTTGTGGCACCTTAGAGACTAACCAATTTATTTGAGCATGAGCTTTCGTGAGCTACAGCTCACTTCATCGGATGCATAATGAAGCCATTTAACAGGCATTTGCCAACCTCCAGGTATATAATGTCAGTTTCTGAATTTACTAACAAAAACAGTAATATTTACTCAGAACATGTCTACAGGATCTTAGTTTAAAATTTGCTTTAAAAATATTTCATTAGTGAGTTGGTGAAGATTATAAAATCACATCTCTAAAAAATCCTTGCATAGCTTTTCAGATGCACAATCATCTTTAGCCTTAAATGCTTGGATCTTCAGACCTATATTTTTTAAATAAATCCTTCAAAAGACCACCCTTATCTAAAACACACATTTTAATTACTACAGAAAAAAAACTTGCTTCCAAAGACTTCCTGTCCTTTCTGTCCATCTCTTTCTCCCTTCACCCCTTCCCCGCACACTCAGTTGAAGAGATCCCTTAAAGGGATAACACCCCTTTCCTTCAGACAGCTGGACAAAGTTTCACTTTCTTTACTTCTGACTATCTGGTGAACTAGTTTTAAGAGAACCCTCCAGCAAAATCAGTACCTAGTAAGATATAAAATCCTTTGTTATGCCTAAAATCTTTGGAAAATATTTTTTAAAGTTGGTGAAATTTCATAAACATGTCTATTGTTATGGAGATCACACAAAGTAAATTAAAGGAGTACTTGTGGCACCTTAGAGACTAACCAATTTATTTGAGCATGAGCTTTCGTGAGCTACAGCTCACTTCATCGGATGCATACCGTGGAAACTGCAGCAGACTTTATATACACACAGAGAATATGAAACAATACCTCCTCCCACCCCACTGTCCTGCTGGTAATAGCTTATCTAAAGTGATCATCAGGTGGGCCATTTCCAGCACAAATCCAGGTTTTCTCACCCTCCACCCCCCCACACAAATTCACTCTCCTGCTGGTGATAGCCCATCCAAAGTGACAACTCTTTACACAATGTGCATGATAATCAAGTCGGGCTATTTCCTGCACAAATCCAGGTTTTCTCACATCCCCCCCAGCCCCATACACACACAAACTCACTCTCCTGCTGGTAATAGCTCATCCAAACTGACCACTCTCCAAGTTTAAATCCAAGTTAAACCAGAACATCTGGGGGAGGGGGGTAGGAAAAAACAAGAGGAAACAGGCTACCTTGCATAATGACTTAGCCACTCCCAGTCTCTATTTAAGCCTAAATTAATAGTATCCAATTTGCAAATGAATTCCAATTCAGCAGTTTCTCGCTGGAGTCTGGATTTGAAGTTTTTTTGTTTTAAGATAGCGACCTTCATGTCTGTGATTGCGTGACCAGAGAGATTGAAGTGTTCTCCGACTGGTTTATGAATGTTATAATTCTTGACATCTGATTTGTGTCCATTTATTCTTTTACGTAGAGACTGTCCAGTTTGACCAATGTACATGGCAGAGGGGCATTGCTGGCACATGATGGCATATATCACATTGGTGGATGTGCAGGTGAACGAGCCTCTGATAGTGTGGCTGATGTTATTAGGCCCTGTGATGGTGTCCCCTGAATAGATATGTGGGCACAATTGGCAACGGGCTTTGTTGCAAGGATAAGTTCCTGGGTTAGTGGTTCTGTTGTGTGGTATGTGGTTGTTGGTGAGTATTTGCTTCAGGTTGGGGGGCTGTCTGTAGGCAAGGACTGGCCTGTCTCCCAAGACTTGTGAGAGTGTTGGGTCATCCTTTAGGATAGGTTGTAGATCCTTAATAATGCGTTGGAGGGGTTTTAGTTGGGGGCTGAAGGTGACCGCTAGTGGCGTTCTGTTATTTTCTTTGTTAGGCCTGTCCTGTAGTAGGTAACTTCTGGGAACTCTTCTGGCTCTATCAATCTGTTTCTTTACTTCTGCAGGTGGGTATTGTAGTTGTAAGAAAGCTTGACAGAGATCTTGTAGGTGTTTGTCTCTGTCTGAGGGGTTGGAGCAAATGCGGTTGTATCTTTGTTATAAGGACTTTGTCCTTACCCATAACTATTTCACATTTGGGGACAATGTATACCTTCAGATCAGCGGCACTGCTATGGGTACCCGCATGGCCCCACAGTATGCCAACATTTTTATGGCTGATTTAGAACAACGCTTCCTCAGCTCTCGTCCCCTAAAGCCCCTACTCTACTTGCGCTATATTGATGACATCTTCATCATCTGGACCCATGGAAAAGAAGCCCTTGAGGAATTCCACCATGATTTCAACAATTTCCATCCCACCACCAACCTCAGCCTGGTCCAGTCCACACAAGAGATCCACTTCCTGGACACTACAGTGCTAATAAACAATGGTCACATAAACACCACCCTATACCGGAAACCTACTGACCGCTATTCCTACCTGCATGCCTCCAGCTTTCACCCTGACCACACCACACGATCCATCGTCTACAGCCAAGCTCTGCGATACAACCGCATTTGCTCCAACCCCTCAGACAGAGACAAACACCTACAAGATCTCTGTCAAGCTTTCTTACAACTACACTCTCACAAGTCTTGGGAGACAGGCCAGTCCTTGCCTACAGACAGCCCCGCAACCTGAAGCAAATACTCACCAACAACCACATACCCCTCTGCCATGTACATTGGTCAAACTGGACAGTCTCTACGTAAAAGAATGGACACAAATCAGATGTCAAGAATTATAACATTCATAAACCAGTCGGAGAACACTTCAATCTCTCTGGTCACGCAATCACAGACATGAAGGTCGCTATCTTAAAACAAAAAAACTTCAAATCCAGACTCCAGCGAGAAACTGCTGAATTGGAATTCATTTGCAAATTGGATACTATTAATTTAGGCTTAAATAGAGACTGGGAGTGGCTAAGTCATTATGCAAGGTAGCCTGTTTCCTCTTGTTTTTTCCTACCCCCCTCCCCCAGATGTTCTGGTTTAACTTGGATTTAAACTTGGAGAGTGGTCAGTTTGGATGAGCTATTACCAGCAGGAGAGTGAGTTTGTGTGTGTATGGGGCTGGGGGGGATGTGAGAAAACCTGGATTTGTGCAGGAAATAGCCCGACTTGATTATCATGCACATTGTGTAAAGAGTTGTCACTTTGGATGGGCTATCACCAGCAGGAGAGTGAATTTGTGTGGGGGGGTGGAGGGTGAGAAAACCTGGATTTGTGCTGGAAATGGCCCACCTGATGATCACTTTAGATAAGCTATTACCAGCAGGACAGTGGGGTGGGAGGAGGTATTGTTTCATATTCTCTGTGTATATATAAAGTCTGCTGCAGTTTCCACGGTATGCATCTGATGAAGTGAGCTGTAGCTCACGAAAGCTCATGTTCAAATAAATTGGTTAGTCTCTAAGGTGCCACAAGTACTCCTTTTCTTTTTGCGAATACAGACTAACACGGCTGTTACTCTGAAACAAAGTAAATTAGTGATCCCTTTTTCTAAAAGCAATGAACATTGTTATGAACACACTAAACCTCTGTGACTGATTAATTTAAAATAATGTCTTTGTTTCAGTGAGTTAAATATGTAGTAATCTGGAATGATTACTTTATGAAGGTTTAAGAGTACATTTAAAATATAAAATCAGCTTAGAAATACTGATTAAGAAAATGTAAAACAGAGAAGAGCTACATCATGTATTCCATAATATCTAATGTTGTATTCAGCAAGACAGCTGACTCGTTCTTACTCCAAAGTTTTTGCAAATAAATCTCTGACAAACTTCAGGGCATATCAAAAAACCTGTGACTAACATTTTTTATTCCCACGTTTAGTGCTTTTAATTAGGTACATTCTGCATGTCCATTCTTCACCATCTGGCATGCAGTGGAAAACATGCTCCATTTTCTTTAGAAAGAAATTGCAGAAGTGTTTTTTTCAAATGTCATTTGCCTCATTTGGGTTCAGGGATTTAACTGGAAGGGGGTGAGTAGGGTGAGGGAGGGAAGAGAGGAGGGAGACAGTGGGGGGAGGGCGGGGACTGGGTGGAGCAGGGTGGAGCAGGAGTGGAGTATGGGTGGGGCCACAGGCAGAAGAGGTGGGCTGCGGAGCTAGCCTCCCCAAGCAGCAGCTTCACCCACTGCCCATGACATCAGGTAAGAGAGGGTCGGCTCCCACACACCCAGCGTGCACTGCAGTCTCCTTAGGCAGGGGCCGTATTCACAGAGCTGAATGTGCCAGCGCCGCACATTCTGCGTGATGGAGAAGGTACAGGGGTCTCTGCAGGGAACTGTGACACTCTTCCACCAGGAGACTGGCTGGGTGACTCGGTATCCTTTGCTGACTCTCCCTCCCGCCCCTGGGCTGCGAGCACGGGTTGCCATCGGGGATAGGGCCCCATAAATCCTAAGGACAGCCCTGTTGCCAGTTATGATGCAGCCCATGTCAGTGGTGATCAAAAGTTGTTACCATGTGAAGGCTGTTTGGTGGCCTGTGGAGATCAAGTGTTGGCCT